TGTGGGCTTCATCCCCAGTAGGGCATGTGCAGGAGGCAGCTGATCAATGATTCTCTCTCATCATTGATGTTTCTATCTCTCTCCCTTTTCCTTTCTCTCTGAAATCAGTAAAAACCTATTAAAAAAATAAAAGAATAAAATTTCTTTTCTTTTTTTAAATATTTTTATTGATTTTATACAGAGAGAAAGAGAGATAGTTAAAAACATCGATGAGAGAGAATCATCAATCAGCTGCCTCTTGCACACCCCCTACTGGGGACGTGCCCACAACCAAGGTACATGCCCTTGACTGGAATCGAACCTGGGACCTTTCAGTCCACAGACCGACGCTCTACCACTGAGCCAAACCGGTGACGGCAAGATTTCTTTTCTATCAAAGCCAAGTAAGGTGTGTCCAGATGGGTCTGGATCTCCTGTGATTTTGAGGCACTGCAGGTGGACAGGGACTTGACTCTAGGTCCTGCAGTGCGCCCCAGACTCTGACAGAAGGAAGATTTTCATATACATTTTACTAATTTTCTTTCATTTCTGATACTTCTATTATAAAGGGAAAATAGCAATATTAAAATATTTCCTCTAATTAATCCCCTTTTAATGTACATGAATTTCATGCACTGGGCCACTAGTCTTGTATAATATTGTAAAAGCCTGATATGCTAAATGTCTGGTTGTCAGGTTGGCTGTTCAACCAATCAAAGCATAATATGCTAATGATATGCTAAGGCCATTCAACCACTTATATGATGTGCATTGACCACTAGGGGATAGAAGCTCTGACTGGTAGGTTTGCTTGTTGCTGGGGTCTGAGCGATCAGGCCTGAGCAAGACCAGCCACACACACCCTGGAGCCCTCCCATGTTCCCTCCCTGGCTGGCCAACCTCTTGCATTCCCTCTCTCCCTGGCGCTGATTGGGCACCGGTGGGGGTCCCTCAGCCTGGTATGCACCGTCTCACAATCTGACCCCTTGGGGGATGTCAGAAAGCTGGTTTTGGCCTGATCCCACAAGCCAGGCCCAGGAACCCATTGGTGCACAAATTCATGCACCAGGCCTCTAGTATGCATACAAGATCATAGTTTAATCTCTTCTCACCCCCCACCTGCTTCCCTCTGAGAATCACCATTCTGTTCCATTGCCATGCCTTTGATTCTATTTTATTCATTAGTTTATTCTGTTCATTATATTTCTTTTTAAAAAATATATTTTTATTGATTTTAGAGAGGAAGGGAGAGGGAGAGAGATAGAAACATCAATGTTGAGAGAGAATCATTGATTGGCTGCTTCCTGTAGGGGATGGAGCTCAAACCCAGGCATGTGCCTTTGACCAGAATCAAACTGGGACCCTTCTGTCCACAGGCTGATGCTTTATCCACTGAGTCAAACCAGTTAGGACTTCATTAGATTTCTTATTTGTTTATTTTGATTTTTATATTAAATTGTTGATAGGTATATATTTGTTGCCATTTTGTTGTTCGTATTTTTTATCTTTTTCTTCTTTGTCCTCTTCTTCTTCTTCTTCTTTTTTTTTTTTTTAATATATTTTATTGATTATTTTACAGAGAGGAAGGGAGAGAAATGCAAAGTAGAGAGTTAGAAACATTGATGAGAGAGAGTCATTGATCAGCTGCCTCTTGCACGCACCCCACTGGGGATGTGCCCGCAACCAAGGTACATGCCCTTGACCGGAATCGAACCCAGGACCTTTCAGTCTGCAGGCCGACACTCTATCAACTGAGCCAAACCGGTTTCAGCCTTCATCCTCTTCTTAAAGAATATCCTTCAACATTTCATATAATACTGGTTTGGTGGTGATGACCTCCTTTAGCTTTTTCTTGTCCATGAATCTCTTTATCTGATCTTCAATTCTAAATGATAGCTTTACTGGGTAGAGTAATCTTGATTGTAGGTCCTTGGTATTCATCACTTTATTTTTTGCCACTCCCTTCTGGCCTGCATAGTTTCTGTTGAGAAATCAGCTGACAGTTGTATGGGCATTTCCTTGTAGGTAACTAACTGCTTTTCTTTTGCTGCTTTTAAGATTCTCTCTTTGTCTTTAGCTTTTGGCATTTTAATTATGGTTTGTCTTGGTGTGGTCCTCTTTGGGTTCCTCTTATTTGGGACTCTCTGTGCTTCCTGTACTTGTAAGTTATTTCTTTTACCAGGTAGGGGAAGTTTTTTTGTCATTATTTCTTCAAATAGGTTTTCAGTATCTTGTTCTCTGTCTTCTTCTGGCACCCCCATAATGCGAAAGTTGGTATGCTTGTTGTCCCAGAGGCTTCTTCCACTATCTTCATATTTTTTTAAATTCTTTTTGCTCTTCTGGTTGGGTGTTTTTTACTTCCTTACATGTCAAATTGTTCATTTGATTCTCAGAATCCTCTCTTCTACTGTTGGATCCCTGTGTATTATTCTTTATTTCAATCAGAGAATGCTTTATTTCTGACTGGTCCTTTTCCCTTTTTATTTATTTATTTATTTATTTATTTATTTATTTATTTATTTATTGTTTATTCTCACTAAGATCCTTGAAAATATCACTAAGTCCCTAGGAGGTTTCTAGAAGATTCTTGAGTAACCTTATAACCATGGTTTTGAACTCTATATCCAGTAGTTTGTTTTCTTCCATTTCTGTTATTTGTGACATATTTCTTTGTCTCTGTATTTTGGCTGCTTCCCTGTGCTTATTTTTATGTATATGGTAGAGCTGCTATGCCATCTTGGGTTGGTAGAGTGGCTTTGTGTAGTGAGTGCCTTATAGGGCCCAGTGGCTCAGCCTCTCCAGTCATCTGAGCTGGGAACTGTAAGTGCACCCCTTTGTGAGCTTGTGAGCCCAGGCTTGTTGTAGTTGAGACTTGATTGCTGTTGGTTTTACTGGAGGAATTGACATCCAGGCCAATTGGCTGTGAGGACCAGCTGTGACTACACTGGGAGAGTTTCTGTGCAGGAGACACCCTATGGGGCAAGACTTGCTTCATTGGGCTTTGGTGCTCACTAAATCTGCCCCTTGAGTGTGTCACTTATGGATGTGTAGAGCTGTAATCTGATATGGTTTGACACTGACTACTGGGTACACTGGCTCTTGGGTCTCCAGGGAGGTGCAAAGTCAGCCACTGCCTGGTTCCACCCAGCAGGAGCTACAGAGATATCTGCAGATATCTCCTCTTTATATTGGGTTTGGATGTGCCCAGATGAGGCCCAGCTGTGAAGCAAGACAGGCTTATGCTAATGCTGGGTCTTGGGCCTTTTTTTTTTTTTTTTTTTTTTTTTAATAGGTTTGGGGGTTCCTTGACTCAGCTGTAGCTTGTTTGAGAGATTTTAGTCTGAGCAAGGACGGACAGCTTGGGTGGGGTTGTAAATTGGAGGAGGCTGGGCCTTAGGGAATCACAAGAGTGGAGAAAACATAAGTGGCTGCCAGTCAGTCCTGTGACTGGAAGGTCCCAGCATAGGAACAATGATCCCTGCAAGCACCTCCATCTGGGAGAAAGCCACGTAGTTTTTGCCCTGCTGCCAGAAAATTCTTGTCTAGAAAGATAAAGTTGTTAATAACTTTATTGTTTATTTCAGAAATTTTCTGAAAATCCATTTAAATCAATATTAGATTATTCAAATCAAAGTAGCATCAAACAACTGTTTACTATTTAAGAATTGCTTTGAGACCCTTTATTCAAATCTTCTCCTCTTTGTATTTACCCATGCCAAACTATTAGGTCACAGATGTGCCAAATCACAGTAAAGCCCCATCCTCACACCAAATGATCAACCTTAAATCAAAATTCCCAAATCTTAAACATATCCTATCTTTGTTTTTCCTCTTCTGAGACATCACCAAGGTTCTTGTCAAGGTGGCAGCCTCACTTACTGTGATAAACAATAAACTCAAGTTTGTTTTATCAACAGGCTATTTTGTTGGTGATTTTAGGGAGTGAAGTACATATAATATTTACTTCTTATTCCAACTACAAATGATGCTTTTTGCATAAATGGTGACCCATAGTTTGGAACTATATGCCGAATAATAATCCAAAAAAAAATAAATCTCAATTAATTTATTATTATTATTTTTTTCTTTCAACCTGGTATGTTATATTTATAGCCAGAGAATGTCATTGTGCTCAGTCATAATAATTGTTTTTCAAATTAGTGAATCTGGAAATGTATTATGATTTCAGGAATAAGTAAGTAAACTATGTATCCTAGCCAAGCAGCCTACAACAACCAAGAATGATTTTTGAAAAAAAAGCTGTATAGATTTTATGTAAATTTGGTATTTATGAGCACCAAACTTTTAGCACTGACATCTGCCTGAGAAGAAACTTCATTTACAGCAGTGGCAGAAACGAAGTTCACTGTGAACTAGTTTTGGATACCATATGCTTTAACATTCTGAAGAGGGGCGGGGAACGAGGCATTTTAAAAACAGCTTTTTCTCGTTCTCACTGTGGATGATGTTGCATGACAACATTGTGACATCATCACTTACGCTATTTTATTTGCTGTTGCACCAATAGAGCATGAAGGCGAGCAACAGCACCTTGATGTCTGTGGTGCTTTCCCTCTGTGGAACTTCAGGCGCTTCACAGGCACTTTCTTTCTAAACCTCACATCTCTCTAAGGTATTGCCAAACTGGAGACACATTTCACAGTTTAATCATGTGGAACACATTGGTAAATATAGATGTGCCTTTTAGAAAGTTGCTTCAAAGTGTACTTTGCAGCTCACACGACGTTTCCCAGGGTGTAAACCAGTGGTGTGATGTAAAGCTCTTGGCCCTCCCCCACGTGAGAGGGGAGGATAGATGAGTTTGGCAGCACACAGTAGCGCAGGAGGAGGGCGGGTCCTGTGGAAAAGGCAGGCTATTTTTTTTTTTTTTTTATATGCTCTCCCGTCATTTCTCTCCACAGGGGTGCTTCCTTTTCTTCAATCTCATTTTTTGCTTTCTTTCCAACATTAAAAAAGAAAAATAATCTGTAAAATTTAACTTGTAATTAATAGTCTGGTTAGATTTTCAGGGCAGAACACAAAAGTCCATTTAACTCACAATTCCTGTTGATTATAATCCTGGCCATCGAATCAGTTTTTACAGTTGTAAGCGCAAATGGGTTCTTATGAAAGGCGAATGTGCAACATGGCAGACATGTTTGTTTCTTTCTCTCATCTTTCCAAATCCACTGTGAGACAGAATGAGTTGTTTTTCAGAATACTTCTGCCTCTCCTGCCTCACCTTTTCTTTTCTAGACCCCCATACCTCCCAGTTCCCTAGAAAAGATCTCTTGGTATGGAACAGAGACCTGAAGTGAGTCCTAGTTGTATCCTTTAGTAGTTGTGTGAACCCTGAGTGGTTAAACCTCTCTGAGGCTGATTCCCCATTTGTAATTTATACGTAATATCTAGCTCCAGAGTTGTTGTGAAGATTAAATAAGATAATGAGCATGAACGAGCTGCAATGCTATCTAGCAGAGAATAATAAGGCCAATTAAAAAACATTCTGACTGTCCTGCTTTCTGGGGCTGATTTGCTTTATCCTTCTGAGTATGATCCAAACCATTGTTCAAATTTAGAGTGAAAGAGGGAACTTCAGGACAACAACATGTAGAAACTGGGATTGCCTAAGCAAACCAGAATGTATGATTAACCTTTACATAGGGAAGCTTTCAAATGGGGGGTACCTGTGCTTGCTTGTACATGTTATTATGGATAATGAATTTTATGAATACAAATATAATTTATAGCCCACATATAAGTTGAACCTGAATCACAGCCCTTTGTGTATAGCTTATAGTATTTCCCAAAATTGCTACCTGGACAACAGGTGACACAAGAGACTATTTCAAGTGCTATACAGCAAACATTAAGTTTTTAAAGCTATCATATCAAATCTATAATTTTTGGAAGTAAGAATTGTTATTTTAAAGTAAATTGATTTAGATAAAATTATGAATTGATTTAGAGAAAATAAGTAAGTAAATGACACGACATTTGTATTATAGATACAAGCAGGTTGGCTTGGAACAACTGATAGGTAGGAAGCCCTCCTGGATAGAATACATCCAGTAGAATGAAAGAATAATCTACTCAGTATTTGAATAAACAGTTTTATAATATCATATATCACCTTGCCTTCCAGTAAAGGTGCTTTACAAGAGTTGGAGAAAAGATCAATACCCAACTGTGGCCCAGGTGAGGGGAAAAGAATGGAGTAATTGCAGCTGAAGGTTAACTTTGGACACACTTTCTGGTAAGTTCTGAACCCCCCCACCATTTCTGTACATTATTAATATAAATGATGTATGAAGAATTGATAAAACTTGGCAAAATGTATTATGTACGCTGTTTTAATCTTTGTGGGGATATTTTATTTGTGTTTATCTTTTGAAATTTATGATGGGACTTAGTTGGTCTTGTCTTAAGAATTTCAGAAAGTCTCCTCACACTCTTTTGAGTAGTTCATTTAATGCCCTGGTACCTAGCCCTAATCCTTTCTAGTTTAAGTGCAGTTGCCAAAGAAATCAGAAAAATTGGGAAAATATTATCATTCTGCTTCTTGACACTTGTTACAAAGCCACTGATAGCAGTGGGCTTCCTAGTCTTCACCTTACTTTGTTTTTATTTAGTTTTCTTATTGTGACATCTGTCAATGAAAAACATAAATGCTTCTTAGTGTTTTTGTTTGTTTGCTTAAAAGGGAGGCAATTTTGATAATATATCAAGATACTTGGGTATGAATGGTTAGAGATCAGCCATTCTTTTTCCTAAAATACATCAACATATTTGAGAGATGGTCATTTACAGATTCTATGTGTACTCAAACTCAGGGTCTGTAAAGGTTTACAAGTATTTGTGTATGACTTCATGTATATTTTCAGAGTTTTTTTTTTTTTTTTTGTGTGTGTGAAACTTTGAAAAATGAAGAGAATTAAGTTGTTTCTAAAAAGCCAAAGCAGCCTGCCATCTCTTTTTCTTTTCTGGGCTACGATCCAATTTGCACAGCAGTTGCAAAGAAAAAGCAAACGCATCACTAGATTCAGCGAGAAATATTGTAACAGTATGTAATCTCTGTCAAGATAAAATTGCTTTGTGATTTACATTACAATAAATCCTGACCTTTAAGTGCTGCAGACTAAGCTAATCTGTGAAGTACTTTATTCCAACACTGAATCAGCGAGAGAAGCTCAACCAAATTGACTGCATTAGTCTCACCATGGTGGTTAAAGAGCCTATATATATCGAAGCAGATTACAGAGCTTGTTCCATGTGTACTATAATAAGTAGGATAATTGAAATATTCAATCTGTTTCATCATTGTGAAATAATAGAATTATTTTAACCTCCCTTCTGTTTGCCTATTATGAGGATACAAGTAGCCTCATTAAATATCATTAGGGCCTGATTTAGATTGATGAGAACAAGGAAATTCAGAATTAAGGCAAAAATACCACATGGCATTTCAACCTAACTCACTTCTACGGCTGTTATTTATTTTTATTCTCTCTCTCTCTCTCTCTCTCTCTCTCTCTCTCTCTCTCTCTCTCTCTCTTTAATTTTTGTAAAATAGTTAATATATGTTGAATTTCTCAGTACCAGCTTTGGGTTTTGGGCTATTTGTCTGTCCAAAGTCAATCATTGGGAAATGGAATTTTCTCAAAGATATGGTTTAAAAAAAATAAATAGATGTTACCATACCAAATTTGGGAGATTTTGGGCCATTTCTCTCCCAAATATTTTTCTCTCCTCTCCTCTCTTGGCTTTCTTCTAGATTTTAATTACACACATATCAGACAACTTTAGGTCATTCCAGAGCTCACTAATACTTTTTTTCTATTTTTTCTTTCTATGCTTCATTTTGGATAGATTCCATCGCATGTCTTCAAATCCATTTTTTTCTTTCTTTCTGCAGTGCCTAATCTGCTATAATCATATGCAGGATATATAAATATATATTTCAGGTGATACATTTTTCATCTCTAAAAGTTCCAATAAAAAATGCTTTCCATTTTTCTCCTCATCACACTTATGTTTGATAATTCTATCATCTCTCCTGCACATGCCTCTTTACTTGCTGAGTGAATATTGCCTGGATACTGGATATTGTGTTTTTGTTTTTGGGTGCTGAACTTTTTGGCATTTCTTTAACTAATGTTAAATTTTGTCCTGCCCCACAATTAAGTTCTTAGGAATCAGATTTCTTTGAGATTGGGCTTTCAGTTTTGTTAGTCTAGGATTAATGTGACCCTATTGCTAAGGCAGAACCCTCTGAAGACTCTTTCTCATGCTGCGTATTACCAGGTCTCCTCACTCCAGCTGGCAGGAACATTTCTATCCCTGTCGGAGTTGTGGGAATGGCCAGGCTTGTTGCTTTCTGTTGCTTCTTTATTTGGTCAGAGGTACAGTATTGTCTTTTCTTGTACAGATCATTACTCATTCAAAGCTCTGCAGTAAATCTGCCAAGCTTTGAATATCTTTATCTGTGTAGCTCCCTCCTCACTGGTACTTTGCCCCAGAAATTCCATTTGTCTTGGCCTCCTGTATTCCAACTTCTATCTTTTCAACGTGGAAACCACAGGGCTCAGTTTGGGTTCCCCTCTCTTCTCTGAGAACTGGAAACTCTCTTTAGGCAATCAGCCCGCTGGAGCAGTGGCAGAGCTTATGTCTTCCCCTTTTCTTAGGGACTACTCATCTGCTGCTTATTTTTCAAGCTCTGAACCAATTACTTCTATACTTTTGTCAGGTTTTTCTTTGTTTAAGGTGAAAGGTTCCCTGTTATGCTATCATGGCCAGAAGCAGATGTCTCAAATAACTGGTGTTTAAAAGGTACTTTATGATTTTTTATATTAAACCATTTGTTCAGAAGTTCTTGCCAGTACACATTTTTGGAAACATCAAATAAGTGATACGAAGATTTTTTAAACAAATTCTAGACACAATAAACTATAGTAATTGTTAATGCTAATTTTCCAACCACAAAGCAATGTAGTGTGTATAAAGCACATAGAACACCATAATTACTTCAGGAACTAAAAACATATATATATATATGCATATATATATATGCATATATATATATATATATATGTGTGTGTGTGTGTGTGTGTGTGTGTATGTATATGTGTGTATATATATATATATATATTTTTTTTTTTTTAAACATTTTTTAGGGAGAGATATAAGAAAGTGTGGAGTACTGGAGGCCTCTTCCATTGTTTCTTATGATAACTGTTGCTCTGCTCTATTTTAAAGTTACATTTGAGTTCAGGGAAATTATTTTCATTTTAGTAAGGCAAACTTTTTGTTATTTTGTGATTTTTTATTTTAGATTTTTATAATAAATTTATAGGGTGCCTTGAGGGCAGCACAATTTGCATCACAGGGGGGCCACCTAGGAAACTCACCTGGGACAGACCACTCTGTTCTGCCTTGGAGCACTATTACCTAGAACTGGAATTTTTCATGAGATACTTCACATTATAAATAGAGACATCCTCAGGGCACCATATCAATGTATACTAGAGGGTCTTCTCATGCATTTTGAGGGGAAAATAGCAGTTTTGATATCCCCAAGATGAGAGCAAGTATTTCTGATGCTAAAAGGATACTTGAGCACTTAGTTGAAACATAAGCATTTTTAAAGATCAATTTTATATTTCCAAACAATATTTATCTATCTATCTATCTATCTATCTATCTATCTATCTATCTATCTATCTATTTATTATTTACTTAATGGGATATATACTTTGGCTAATAGTTCCAATTTTTGGCTAATAGTTGCAATTTAAAAAAAATTAAAATATAGTGAATTTTTAGATTCATTTGCTTTAGTACTGAAAAGAGAACAAAACATAGTTTGAAGGAAAGATTATATGAAAATGTTGATAGATTGATATAGGTAAGACACATGAATAATCTTTCAGGCTACTATTTATTTCCTTTATTTTTTTTACAAGAATTTAGTTGAGACCATGGGTGGTTGGCCAGCGGATCAGGGTGGGGTGCTGATCTGGGGTGGGATCAGGTCAGGGGAGGGGCTGCAGGAGATTGGCCAGCCAGCCCCTCCCTCCACCTATTAAGGTGTGGGGGGGAGTGATTGGGGCTGGGCTGCCCAGGGGAGGGTCTGTGGGCCTATCAGGGTGATGGGGGCCCATTGGGGGTTTGGCCAGCCAGGGGGAGGGGCTGCAGGAGGTTGGCTGGCCAGCCCCATCCCCTGGTGGGTGAGAGCTGTGATCAGGTGTGGGGCAGCCAGAGGGAAGGGCTGCAGGAGGTTGGCCCCCAAGCCCTGCCCCCTATTGCTTGGAGGGGTGCAATCAGGGGCTGGCGTGGACGGGGGGAAGGACTGAAGACCTATCGTGGTGAGATGGGCTGATGGGGGCACAGCTGGCCAGGAGGGAAGGGAGGGGGTGTTTGGCCAGCAGGCCCATGCTCTTTTTTCTTTCTTCTTTTTTTTAAAAAAAATGTATTTTATTGATTTTTTACGGAGAGGAGGGGAGAGGAATAGAGAGTTAGAAACATCGATAAAAGAGAAACATTGATCAGCTGTCTCTTGCACAGTCCCTACTGGGGATGTGCCCACAACTAAGGTACATATCCTTGACCGGAATCAAACCTGAAACCCTTCAGTCCACAGGTTGAGGCTCTATCCACTTAGACAAACTGGTTAAGGCTCTTGATCAGGGTGGGAGAGTCTGATCAGGGGCAGGCCAGAAGAGGGGAGGGGCCATGAAATTGGCTACCTGCCCCACCCCTGATTAGGCTGGTTCCTGGCCATAGTGGGCATCATAGCGACTGGTTGTTAGGTGGTTATGGTCATTATGGTAGCTGCCTTGATGATAAGCTCACTAGTGTCATTCTATTTTTAAATATAGAATGCTTTTATTAGACTTTAAAAAAGTCTTTAACTGCTTGTCTGTCCTTTGCTCTAGATCTATTTTCTTCAATATATTTACTCTAGTTTATTATGCAATTGTATGTTTCCTGCAATTGCCTCTATATTTATACAAGCACAATCTTCTTCTTTTTTACCAAAAAATTTGAAAAGTGGCCACCCCAAATTTAAAAAAAAATTTTTTTTATTGATTTTTAAAAAAAATATATTTTATTGATTTATTGATTGACAGAGAGGAAGGGAGAGAGATAGAGTTAGAAACATCGATGAGAGAGAGTCATCGATCAGCTGCCTCTTGCACACCCCCTACTGGGGATATGCCCGCAACCAAGGCACATGCTCTTGACCAGAATCGAACCTGGGACCCTTCAGTCCCCAAGCCGACGCTCTATCCATTGAGCCAAACCGGTCCCGGCAAATTTTATTGATTTTTTACAGAGAGGAAGAGAGAAGGATAGAGAGATAGAAACATCGATGAGAGAGAACCATTGATCAGATGCCTCTTGCACACCCCCTTCTGGGGATGTGCCCACAACCAAGGTACATGCCCTTGACCGGAATCGAACCTGGGACCTTTCAGTCGGCAGGCCAATGCTCTATCCACTGAGCCAAACCGGTTTCGGCTGGCCACCCCAAATTTTATCTTTAAAATGTTCCATAATAAATAGAGAAAGAACACAACTTTTAGTTTTCTGGTTAATGAACTGTAGCTCTCCTGTTTTTACTAACATTTCCCCAAATTCTTGGATGAAAAGACTAACAAATATGAAGTATTGTTATCACAACTTACAGCAATAAATTACCTCAACATAGATATAACAAAAGGAAAAGTGTTATAACCACATTCATATTCAAAGATCTTGTGATACAAGCCAACCCCTGTGGGGGTATTATTTTCAAACATAACAGGTTGACATTATATAATTACATACTGCTGGATATTGAAATAGCAAAAAAGGAAAAATTGCTTATAGTAGTACTCACAGCACACTATTATGAATATTCGCATTCATCCACATATCTTTAGAGAATTATTTCTAGTTATGCACTACTGACTTCAGCAAAGATTTAGTGACTTATTCAATATCAATATTAGGTTTTGACATTAATGTCTTAGCAAGCATGGGGAGGTGTGGTCTTAAGACACTTCTACTCAATAAAGAGGACCTAAGGTGAATCTCTTTTCCATTTTTTTATAGTCAGTTTTTAAAAATAAGCATTTTATATATGTATGTATATGCAAATATTCAGAATCCCTTTCAATTCTTACAATTTGCACTTCTAATCTACTTAACTTTTTCTACTTTTTATGATGGCATTTTTATTTTCTAAGACAAATTTTCCAATTTGGTCCTATTTTTTTCATCTGATTCTGCTTTATGCACTCTCTATAATGGGGTATGTCAGAATTTCTGATTTTTCTGAATTCCTTTTCCCACTATTCTCAATGCTACTAATCTCTGGATTGTAACCAACTTTTACCTTTCTCCCTTTCATGTATCAGGCTTCTAATCTTTCCATTATTTTTACTTACCAGGAGCTTTTTGGTCTTTTGGTGCACTCTGAAGTATAGTTTCACAGATATTTAGGCCATAAATGCCATCATTCTTGGAATCTTAACTAATCTTTCTCTCTGGTTAATCATCTTGCTAACCTTACATCTGTTATTCCTATTCTGTAATGTAGGTATAATCTATTGGCTGCTTTTGGATTTCTCTCCTATCCAGACTTTTAAAATAAAATTGAATGCATATTATTTTAGGTTGTATCATTTCATATTTAATGTTTTTAACATTTTTTTTTTCTACAGTGACTTACCTCTGGGAAAGTGAGATTGGAGGAGAGAGTAGAGTCAGAGAGCTAGAGCATGAGACTGAGACACAGATATAATAGGTTTTGTGGGGAGCATTTTACTGTGTTATATAAGAACAGTCACTGTTTAAAAGTAAATATTAGCAAAGCAATAAACTGGTAGTATGTGAAGTAGTCTAGGAAAATACTCCCTCATCAATAAAAATCAGTCAACCAACCAATTATGTAATAACAGATATTAGGCTGTTCCAATGAACAAAGCTAGGATTTAAGTGGATACATGCTCAAAACCATTCATGGTGGTTATAAGTAGCTCAAAAAAGTTCTAAAGTTTAATTAGTTAGCTTTAGTTACCAACTCTGTCATGTTTCCTTAGATTTCTTGCACTTTTTTTGTATTGGTGCAAGACAAGGTTTCAGATGCTAGGGTGCAATCCCTTCCCCCGCCCGCTTCCGCTCTAAGCCATACAAGGGCTGAATCTTAACAATAGGTTTTCAAGAAGTATTTATTGATAAGAATTGTAGCTTGCAAAAGAAATTCAGTTAACCTGGTTTGTTTGTTTTTAATAAGTTATGCACAGGGACTTCTTATCATGGGGGTCTTTATTGGCTTTTACAAACTTCAATAGGTGTAATCTTGAGGTATGCAGCTAAAATCATTATCCTTCAACAGAAATAAAATTGGAAAATCCCATTATCACCCGAAAACTAGAAATAAGTGAAAATAGGCATCATGTAAAAACCAATGCAAATACTCTGGAGATACAGTGTGATTATTCTGTTTTATCTCCCATGAAATCTGCTTTTCACACCCTTTATGGCCTCTTTGGGGTGTTGGTATTCATGAATAAAAATATTACTTAAAAACCCCCCACAAAACACATTTCTTTGCTCTAATTAGGCAATATGAAAGCCTTCTGTTACAATTTATATTATTAAAATTTTGACATTTTCTAATGGCATAAAACATGTTCTATTTTTAACAAAGGCTTATATTAGTACAGTACTTAGAGGAGATTTCCAAGTTCTAATGAAGCTTGTGTTTTTATAATTATTTGATACCAAAAGATTATGGAAATAAAATAATTTTGGTAGTCTCTGGTTCATTTTAAATAGTAATTACCCTGTAGAATTATATGCACCCAGAATAATGTGACTAGTGATTAAAATTTAGAAACATAATAATTATTAAAA